CTAAGCCATAAGCCCCTAAACCCCTAAACCCTAAGCCGGGAAGCTTCATGGCATTGTCCATCAAGGCTTTCGAGTACGTCATCTCGATCTCCCCCCATATGTTCAGCCGGATGTACCTTGCAAAATTGGGTTTAGGGTTTAGGATTTAGGGTTTTGAGACCCTCCTGGAAGAGGCCCTCGGAACCCAAAATACTGAGACGCGCTTGACATTCCTCCCAATGTAGGGCTCTAAGTAAATATCAATATGACATTTTGGGGGATCCTTACTGCAATTACAGTAGAATATACCCCCAGATCCCTGTTCTAATCATTAAGGCGCCCATATTCGGACCCCCTAGCCAGAAGCTGGCCCTTGATGGCTTGGACACTGATCAGGCGCAGACTCTCTAAGCCCTAGGGTAGGTGCCAGCCAATGGAACCACCTCAGGACTAATTTAGGGTTTAGGGTTTAGGGTTTAGGGCACTGTGCTACAATCCGTTGTCTCGCTAAGTGGTATTCGATTGTAGTCCGAAAAGCCTGTCAGAAGAGAGGAAGCACCAAAACTCAGGTCAATTGATGATGATACTCAAGTTACCTTGCGCTAGGAGCTCGAAGTACACATGGAGTATTGCATAAAACACTTTTCTCGAAGGCTATCTCTAGGTATGCAGGCGTTGTGTGAGGGGTCTGAGCGCATGGGGTCATTGCACCATCTGCGGGAGAGACATGAGGTTGGACAACGGATCGCAAACGTGTTGAATTCATGTGGGCTGGTACTATGTACACACACGCAATTTAGTGACACGGGCTGCCTTGAGCAGGAAGGATCAAGACTGCATGTGCACTCCGACCGCTTGTGGAAGTGCACAAGAAGCCACCGACCGGAAAACCCTAAACCCCCAAAACTCTAAACCCACTGTTCCGTGGAACCCAAAATGCCCAAACCCTGCAGCCAAGTCAAGAGAACATCAAACAGACTGCCCAACCCTAAACCGCCACCCCTAATCCCCAACCGCTACGGTGACTGTTTTTAAATATGCGGACAAGTAAATAAATAAAACAAATATTTTGTACTACCTCTGTGAGGGGTCGGGCGGGGCCGCCCGTCTTTTACATATACAGAAACGTTAGCGCTTGTTCCCGTCGACGCAGTCGTCCACACACA